TTTCCTTTTCCTTGCACAACGCCGAGTCATTTAGAGATAAGTTTTAAAATTTAAGCTAGGTTTTATAAACTAGCGAAACTTGGACTTAGGTGTCCTATTAATACTGAAACCAACCATGGGTAAATATTCTATGACCCTGAAAAACTGACTCAGAATACGCAAAGCTTAGAGCTCTCTAAAGGTGAAGTAACGTAATATACGTATGCAGGTATTGTGTTGGACTGTATCCATCGCCTATAGGACCTTATAAAGTCACTACGTTTCGGAGCTCTGCTCTGCTTCCGTCTTCAGGAAACAGACAGGACGATAAGATGCTAGGAAGCAAGGTTTTGTGCTTTCCTCGGTGACGTGCAGACGATAGCTGAACCTGCTTTCGAAACGTCGTGGTTTTAAACAAGAAGTACGTATACGATGGACAAAATCTAACAAACTTTTTATATACATTTAGCCAAGATAGCAGAAGGTGTGATGTTAAACTGTTGTGAACATGGTAATGAAGTTAGTGTAGCTTAAATCTAAGGTGTTTCTTTACAGCCTCAAAAGGTACAACGTGTCGCTATGGAGTTCTTTATGTGATTCTGTGCACAAGAATTGTCTGTAAAGAAAGATTACAAGGTTAGACTTCAGGTTCTCAAGGCGGCGAGAATTAATTAACTGTTTTCTGGCATGTTGCGCCGTGTGTAGTTTGGTAACAGCGGCCTTGATGATGGAGACTGCTAGTACCTCCGAAACGTCGCTAAATTTTTACATGATTACGTGGCGCAGCCATCTTAAAATGATATATAACTGCAAATTCGGTATCAAAATCTGTAAGAACATGTTCATATTTATCGCCGTTGGAACGTGAAATCTCACAAATATTATAAATTCCTAGAAGTAATTAAACAGTGTGGAAACTTCAGTACTGTCTGGAAACTATTTCTTGTCAGTTCGCCTCTGAATTCACTCCCATCTCCTCATCTCCTAGAACGGTAAGCATAAGCAACCAGGATAGCAATAAAGTCGATTGGGTTGCCGTGTTCCAGGATGAATGAGGTCCCAGTTTAATCAAGCCAGCAGGCGGATAATACACTATCCTACATTTATAACATAAATGAGTTACACGTCTCTTAAAACTAACTTCCAAATGATATTAGTAGCACTGTATTTCATTTGATTTAGTAACTTGCTTCTATTATCTCCTTGCCTCTAATATTTAAACGTATTGGAAATTGGTTCTGTTTAGTGAGCGTACCTCAGTAGCTTACTAACCACAGCCAAGAACAAAAGCATTTTTTTGTAACCATAAAATTTATTTAAAATTTCAACTTCGCCTTCGCTGCGATTTTAATTAATGTTAATATATTATGCGACATATTCGCGATGCAGTGATTAATGAATTTCTCAGGATAAGAAATTATATTCTGGCTGAAGAAGACCTCCGTTAATTCTGACGCCCCCTCCACACCTCCTCAAAAACAATCTATTGTTCTCCAACATCTTTGTGTCTTAAGTGATCAGAATTATAGACAATTGTTCTTTTCGACTCGATCGTCCAGTTTGCGAAATAATAAAACTACGAAATGTTAAAGCTACACTCTATTTCGAAATGTTGTAGTTTAGTAATTTATGCGAAAGACAAAGCTCTAAATAACCGTATAATCTGATGCTTTCACGGTGACTAAGTATAATTAATTCTACAACTACAGTACTCTAAGGACGAGGACAATCTATAGCTGGAGTTTTCTTCATTAAACCACCTTACACGGCTGTTACCCCGAGAAGAATTCATTACACGGAAGAACCGTTTTACATATTATAACATATCATCGTCAGAAACCTTTCAACTTCGACGGAAGTATATTTTCATGGGTAGTACTATTTAAATGCATAAATCCTTTTTCGAATAACTTTGTTGTATAAATTACTAATTTTATTAAACAAACAACTAAACGAAAACAAATATTTTAAATACACGTTGTTAATCTTTATGTTATGTACCAATTTTTGTAGAATATATTTCAAGACGATTCATTAAATTTAACTGAAGATTAATGTAAATTTGGAGTTTAATTTTAACGGCAGAACCTAATTTAATTTGTCTCACACTTCCTGTCTGCTTACTCCGTCATTATGAAAGTCAATAAAAATCTGTTAAAAATTTCCGAACGGATATGAAGATGGAGAGGGACAGCTGATTATATGATAGTGTTACGCGCTATATTAATAATCTCACACTACATTATATTAACGCGTAATTCCATGAAGCGTTCAGTATTTCAAAAGTTGGCATATGACTTGAATAAAGAAGGTAATGAACCAAAAATGATTGAACAATTTACTTTATCTACTGACCATTAATGTTTCTCGGCTTCATCTTCCCTTTAACACAAAGTTTTAATCCCTGCTGACGTCACGAAATGCAGTCACTTGACTTGTTCGGACAGTTTGCTGTAGAAGACTGTCTCCGATATTGACTTGCAGCAGATGGATTTATGTCCTTATGCTAATGCGATTTACTCCTTACTTCTCCGCAGTTGACAAAGTCTCCCCATCACTTAGAAACTCTCTTAATCGCATTTGAGGAATTCCTTACAAATATGTTCTTGCTTAAAGTTCTAAAATTTTGAACAAGAGTGGAAATGTATGCGCTCCAAATTAGTCCCTTACGATTTTGGCCTTAATAGACATATTTTCTACCTTTTTTCTTAATATTTTACATACCTCTACCGATATCAAAAACCTACTCCTAGCTTCTGCTTGATCTATATTCATTCTTGTGCTAGAAGTCATATTTCCACAAAACAAAATACGTTAAAGCAAAAATCAACATTTGGACAATTACAATAGACTACACAGAATTGTTATGATAGAGTACAACGGATATTTGTGGGATATGAATCATGACGGAAACAAATAAACACTTTTTAGTTATTGCATATATTAAAAATCACACCAAAAGTTAAACGTGTCCTCTTTTGAACCTACATAATTAGGCCCGTTAGAAAAAGATAATTTAGAACCTTAGAGTTATAACTGAGGACGGGGGAAAAGCCATCTTCCGAAAGGTAGTGGTTTAAGGAGGCAAAATGGCTATTAAAAAATTAAAAAAATTGAAATTCCTAATTCAACACCATCGCCAATAATATTTAGATATGAAAGCTTATAGTAAAGTGGGAACAAGATCATATCTATAAATGCGACTTGAATTATTTCAAAACAAATTAACAGCAACCAAAATTCACTTTTTGAATTAGTGTTACAAAACACATAATTCATATAATTGGCAACATTATATTTTATACTTCATATGTTACGTAGGATTGCCATTGTCAGGTATAGGTACAGTGGTACTACTTTCGGTGCATTAGAAGGAGTACGTATGCAGTGGACTATGTAGACAAATCGCATCATATTGATATTACAGTAAAATGTGGTTATGACTCGTGATAATTATTTCTCATTTTTTTTATTTTAAATGCAATAGTTGAGCAGAAAAACAGTGTATAGAATTTGGCTAATCACACTTTTTTTGTAAGAGAACTGGCCAAACAATAGATAGCTACACTCACACATATCGTACACATCTGTGACACGTACCGCTAGTGTGGTTTCGAAATAATTACGTGTGGAATACAAGTAAAGTAAATCATGTAAGTTTAAATAATAAACAAGAGCGATATGCTTATATGTAAATCTTATACGACACTGTAAACTACTGATATAACAGCATACATATTTTAATGCGTTTAATTTATCTGACATTAATTTTTATCTGTATTACTAAGCACTAGTAAGACACAGAAAGTAATGTAATAAGTTTATTGGCAATGATTAATTTTATTCATATATAGCAAGTTACATTGATAGTAGTATATTTTGTTGAAACGTGTCTGAGAGAAAACTACACTGTTAAAATATTTATCGAAGATAAATACGTCTTAACTTTGATGATACGTCAATTGAATGTTTCCAACAAACAATGTTGCACTAAATGGTACGTTCTCTTTTAGAAATTACTTCAAACTAACATATTTGTATTTTATGCATTTTAATCAATAGTAAGTTTGACTGCAGAACCCTCTTAAAAGTGTGAACAACACACTCGATGACGGAAACTTAACGGATGTGATTATACCAACAATATCTCAAATATAATCGTAAGCCAAATATCAGGTACTTTTATTTGAGTTCTCTCGTTCAAATTCTTTGTGAGATACGCCTCAAGAAAGATCAGGGTTCTTAAGTAAGTGATCCTTAAAGCGAACCGAATTAAAGTAAATAAAAATTCAGTGACAAACTAATACTTTAATTATACTACACCGAATTTTATTCTAAAATTAGATGCATTTTAAAACACTTTACTCCAAAATACCTGACATATAAATTATACTTGGCAGATTGCTTGTGCACAAAGTTACATCCATCTGCCTCGTATTTCGTGAATTTCAATTCATTTTTAGGGCAAGAAACGCGGAACAAACGTTTCGAAAATTTGGAAGAAATTTTCTGTAATGTCGTCACTGGAATTCTAGCTAGGAACCGCTGACGAACGATCGTGCAAAGACAAGGAAGATTAAACGAAGTTTTATAACAAGCGGAGAATAATGATGAAAACTGTGCCCTTACAAGAAGATCTAAATACTGAAAAGCCACTTTTTTATTGAACTTACTAATTCGTTCCACAGAAAAGAACACTATTAAAGTTAAAGAACATATCTGATCAGTTACGATCTACTTGTTGAATCCAAACGTTCACCACATGACTCTAACTCATTTGCATGTTGGTATGAAACGCACTTTTCCCTTCCCTCCCTTCCCCGCACCGGATACCTACACCAGCAGTCGCGTGGAGCGTGAAATCATTACGAAATTAATTCTGAGCTATCTTTGTTTGCTTTCAAAGACATGGCGGCCGCAGAGAGTTTAGCTCGTTGCATGATATGTTTTATTCATAATAATAATTATTATAAAGATAATTTTATTGAAGAGATAAAATTATACATAAATTAAAATATGTTCACGTTTTAAATAGCACTGAACGGAAACCTTCACTGCCGCAAAAGTTCTCCTTTCCTCGTTTCATTCCGGCTTCAATTCTAAAACAAAGATAAGCCAAGTATATTTCTACAAACATTTGCCATTTCTAAAAATAATTATTAAATGGTTTAAGTAAGCTTATTTTCTTCACAGCATGGAAGTATTTAAAATATAACTGGCATAATACAATTTAGGATTTTGCGTTACTTACCTTGTCAATGTTGCTCTTTCGTGTTCTTAAAATGACTTCAGCCCCTAAGATGGAGCAGATATATTTCTCCCGTAATGTTGGTGTATACCTAAATGCCCATGGTGTTACCATCTGGATCACCAACATCGGAATTCGTACCGCCGTGAAAATCGCAAATCTCACTGTTTTTGTCTTGTACATATTATGACTTAATACACACAGCACACAGAAATGATAGTACGTAAAACAGATATGTTTAATGCATATAACATTTAAACAAAGTTACAGGCTGATGTACTGAGTGTGTAGATAATTCATTATTTAAAAATCTGATTTCGCTGTTCATTTATATTAGTGATATGATATGAGACATGAAACACTGTTATAATTGTGAGTAATTGTATCTGTATTGACAATTATGGAGTTTGTACTGATATAGTGTGAACCAATATTGACGGTGACACGTCGTGTCGAAAAGCCTGTATACTAGCACTTCAGTATTAGTTCTTACGAAAAATAAATGCATGTTAATACTCCTATTGTGTCTCCTTTAAACGTTTGATGAAAAATGCAACCATTCTTTGCACATATCAAAAATTACTTTTCTTCACTTTGTCTATGTATAAATATATTTCCGTAAAATAATGGTGGGATAACAAACAGTCATAGTTTTGGAACAAAGCACGATAGAGACATGAAATAAACTTCAAAATAAAGAGAAACTCTCCAAGAATCGTACCTGTTCAGTAGATTTCGATATGCGCTCCTTTAGTTGCCCTGCAGACATCAAGACGATATTCAAGCTCTTGCCATACACGACCGAGAACATCCGTTGTGATAGATGAAATAGCTTCAGTGATTTGTTCTTTGGAATGATCCAAATTTGTTATTTGGACAGAGAACACTTGTTGCTTCACATAACCCCACAAATAAAAATCCATAGGGGTAAGATCTGGAGAGCGTGGAGGCCAGGCTATCCACCCTCCTCGTCCGACTCATCGCTGAAGAAATGTTTGGTTTAGGTAATCCCGCACGAATGTGGCAAAATCTGGAGGAGCTCCATATAACTGGAAAATGAAATTTAAGTATTTATATATACGTCTGTTTTATTTCATACTTTCTTTGATGTAGTTAATAACAAAATCGAAGGAGAAAGATTTTCTTGCTCGATATAATATCATGTATGTTATGATACTGACTCTTCATGAATGGATTTTTATTATTTGTAATAAATAAACATAGTAGTCAATGAGGTATATCAAATAAGAAACAACATATTTCCAGAATGTTAAATCTTTATTTCAGAGCAGGTTTACCACACCTATTATTCTGAATATATCACAGCACTAATATGAGATAGAAGAAGTTTCGAATCCATCGTATATCCGATAAAAGTTCTTATTATTTATATATGATTTATATGTGAGTATAAATACATCTCTCTACTTTTGTTATGGTGTTTCTGGTCATTCTTATAGAGTTTAAACTGTAATCTTCCTTCCGATGGACAACAGCACTGGTCTCTTCAACCATTAAAGAAATGTTTGAAATAACATAATTGGCTATTAATTCTTAGAGCTATAATTATGATAAGTCAATCCCGTTTTAGCACTCAATACTATACCGCCGCTGATTCCCTTTTCAATATTTATTCACTTTACACTTATTATCAGAACCTCGTAATATTCAAGGGATTGTTAGTCCTCTCTGCTAATTTTTGCAACTTTCGTTCATAAGTCTTTACTTATGAGTTTATCACTCGAAATACCTAGTAATTAATTAACCCTAGATATTAATATACCGGAGGCTAATGTAAGTTAATTTCAGGAATCAATATTATATTAAGTTAATGACACAATATAGGGACAGTAAAGAGCAGATGTAGAGTTTTTGACTTCACAACAACTTGACGGAAGGTTTTGCACACGGGTGTTAATAGCAGTTGTAGCTCTGTGAAGTGGCTGACGTCACAGAATAATATATATATATATATATATATATATATATGCATAAATTTCTGTGTAAAGCTGGGAAGACTGCCATGGATATCTATGAACTGCTTAAATCCTCATTTGAGAAGACACTCTCAACCACATTAGAATAGTTGATGTTTTTTGTACAATTCAAAATAGTATCCCATGTTTGCGACAAGATTCACATTCCAACGAAGTTAAATAGTTTTGTAAAGAGAAACAAGACTATTAATTTAACAGAACATGTAACTAGGCTATCTCGCCAGTTTATTTATTAACTGGTTATTTCAGTGCTATAACAAGCTAGATCCTCAATGGTTTTATCAAAATACAGTGACAGTTATACAGTCATCAATCAGAAGTTGTATTTGAGTATCTGAATCATTTAGTTCAGAAAAGGCCCGATTTTTAGAGCCAGGTTTGCTCTCATTGAATATTATACCCAAACTAGAGAATAACAAAAATTTATATATATTTTAGAAAGCTAAAATAAGAAAAGTACACATACTACAACAGTTGGCAATGTGTTTTATAATTTCTTTAAAATGTGCTTATTCTTTTATTTCATATATCAACTTATATCTTAATTGCATCATGCTTGTGTTTCAATACAATACTTTTATTTTCCGTCGTTTACACAAGCTTATTGTTAAAATCATATAAAATTTCACATAAAATTGTTACATTTTAAAATTGACGACATGTTTCGATATACAATCTTATCATCGTCAGGTCTATCAAAATTAAAATTAAAATCTGGTGTATCTGTTGCTCTGCTTATATTGCTTTTGTTTTTACTCGTTTTTATTACATCTCCAGGCTTCTTCGATTTTATTTTTGGAGACGCGCCTGGGTGCCTATATCTGCAAAATCAATTTTAATTTTCATATCGTGATAAGGCTACCGAAATAGGAAATGGAATAATATTACTCTAATTTATAATATTTTAAGGAATTATTCAAATATATCGTATTACAAACAAAATAAATGTAATCACAAAATATAAAGTATTATAACATACCGGGTTGTGTATGAGGTGCGTGTCCGTTGTTATTGAATGGCAGACAGTAACTGAGTTGTGAGTATCGTGTATGGCTATATATATTGGGTGAAAGTTGTTTAGGGGGTTGGGTCAATGGACTGTAGAATGTTAAATATCGGATTGTTCGTGTAAATGTTGCTGTCGTTTAATGCAAGGTTCTGTTTATGTGTTCTTTGTATATGATATTTCTCTATGGTGTCTCTATGTCGTTTATTTTGTATTATTTTTATAATGTCCAATGTATGTTCTATTTTGTTGTATGAATGTCCTGTGTTTAATATATGCTTTGCATATGCTGAATGGTCTTTATTATGTTTTATTGCTGTAATATGTTCTTTATATCTTTGATTAAAGGTGCGTCCAGTTTGGCCTATATAGGTTAACGGGCAATCATTGCATTTCAACCTATATATGCCTGGTTTTTCGTATTGATTTGTTGTATCTATTTGTGGTTTTTGTTTCAAGATGTTTTTTATAGTGTTTTTTGTTCTAAATGCTATTTTTATGTTATTTGTTTTAAATGTTTTTGTTATATATTTGGTTTCTTTTCCTATATATGTGAATGTGGCCCATTTGTTTTGTTTATTTTCGTTTCCGTCTTCATTTATGTTGTTTATATTGTTTATTTTATTTTTGGGTTTTACTTCATGATTATTATATCCGTTTTCTATTAGAATTTGTTTTATTGTGTTACATTCAATTTGTTTGTTTACTGTGGTTATGGGATATGTATTTTTCCTGTTTATTAAGTAGTTAATAGCCATCTGTTTATGTTCATTCGGATGGCATGAAGAGGCATGTATTATGGTGCTTGTATTTGTGGGCTTTCTGTATATTTTGAATTCGAAGTTATTTTCGTTTCGTATTATAGTTAGATCTAAATAATTTAATTTGTTATTTTGTTCTTTTTCTAAAGTGAATTGTATATTTTGATTTATGTTGTTAAATTCATTTAAAACATTTTTTATGTCTGTATTTTTTCCATCAAAAATCATGAGTATATCGTCAACATATCTACTATAGTATTTAATTTGATATTTATTTAATATATTTACTATGTAATCATGTTCGAGATATTGTAAGAATATTTCAGATAATATGCTCGAGGTGGGAGCTCCCATAGGTAATCCTGTTTCTTGTTTCCAATATTCATTGTTGAATTGGAAATAATTTTGGTTAATAATAATGTTAGTTATATTTGTAATTTCATTTATTAGATCTGTATTTATATTCTGTCTATTTAGAATATCTCTCACAACATCTCGTAGCATGCTTGTTGGAATATTTGTATACATATTATTGATGTCAAAAGAACAAATTTGTATATTTTTATTATTATGAAAATTTAGTTGTTGGATTTCATTTATTAATTTTATAGAATTTGTTATATTAAAGGTATTTGGTAAATTACAATATTCTTTTAAAATGTTTTGCATTTTTATTGCTATTTTATATGCAGGGGCTGATGTCCAACTTATTAATGGTCTGATAGAGTATGGGTTCTTATGTAGTTTAATTTGTCCTGTGATGATTGGTGCGGTGGCGCTATGATTATAGTATTGTGTTTTGGGATGGTTAAAAATGTTATTACACTTTTGGGTTATTTTTTGTATTTCCTTTTGATATTTTAGTGTTGGGTTTTGTGTTAGTTGTGTGAATTCATTTTTGTTTATAAATTGAGTGATGTATTTTTGGTATTGTTCTATAGAGAGTATTATGATGGTTTTTCCTTTATCTGCTTGCGTAATTGTTAGTTTATTTTGTTGTAATTTTTGTTTGATATTTTTTATTAATTTCCATTCATTATTATGTGTTTTATTATATTGATCGTTCTTTTTGTTTTGTTTAATTAGGTGTTCAATTTTGTCTGCTATTATGTGTCGTATATGATCTTGTTTTTGTATAGGAATTAGATTTATTGCAGTTTCTGCTTCCAGTGCTAGGTTTGTGATCCATGTTTTATGTTTATGATGTAAATTGTATTTTAAGCCTTTGTTTAGTAAATTATATTCATTTGGTGTGAATTGAATATTTGTTAAGTTTTTTACGCGACATGCGAAATGGTGTGATGGTTCATTTTGTTTGTATTCGTTATTATCTTCGTTTCGTGTTTTACTTATTAATGTTTTTATTTTATTATTTTGTTTCTGATATACTTTAGTCAATTCGGTTTTTAATTTTTGTATTATTTCATTTTCTATGTCCAACCATACATCCTTCCATATGTTTGCAACTTCTAAATGTTTTTTATAGGTTAATATGTTTAACTGATATTTCTTTTTGTATAATTGTTTAATTTCTGCTTTTAAATATAATGTTACTGCCTTTCGTTGAATTATTTGTATATTAGGATTATTTCCTTGTATTTTGATTTTTACATATTTCGGTGTTATTCTCTCCTTTAAACATAGTTTGTTAAACCTAATATTAGCATTGCACTTCAATACCTTACGTTTTAAGAATTCAGTCCGTACCGCGAAGAAAACACTACACTTCACCATTGCAAAGATCAACTGGTTAACCTTGTTTAAGGAAATAATACGACTAAAACGCTAATTAACCTTTGGAGCCGAAGCTCTTTCAAATGAAACTTAAGAATCCAGTCCGTACCGCGAAGAAAACACTACACTTCACCATTACGAAGTTCAACTGGTTAACGCTGTTTAAGGAAATAATCGCTGTTTATTCTGAGAATCATACGAAATACATAAATGAAACACGAAGAATTATTTATTGTTGAAGGAGGTGGTAC